ATCTTGGGTTGTCCTGCGGCTGAGTGCGCGATAGTCTTCACATGGACGCCTGTCATTAGACGAAGTTTTGGGACCATGTGTAGAGGGGACGCCCGTGGACTTTCTGAGGGCTTATGATACCCATGTTCAGCATGTGCTGAAACTCTGCGCGTACGGTGCGTAACTTGTCTGGTGCTAGTCGACAGGCACGTGCGTGGACCGGTGGACCTCGAGTGACGATGTGGTACAACACCTCCGTCGTGATAGTTGGCAGCTCGGTGCTGGGGCGGACGAGGCTAGGGAACTCGCGAAATAACGATACATATGAGGAATCATCGTGTTTAAAAGCGAGGTGTTTATTCTGTATTGCCGAATAGACCAGGAAGACGACGCTTACTCTAGAAGTGACTGGCGATCACGAAAGCTCAAGTTAAAACCGCGTCTTAAACCTAGGTCTAAGTGCAGTACCCGCTGTCCATAGGTTTGGACGAGGGGTGCCGTTGCCTGCATGCAAAGTCAGTGCTGCTGGATTGGTAGCATCCTTTTCAGTGAACGGGATTATACTGACTTGCGCTCCGGTATCTAGCATAAACCTCAGCTTGGACGAGTTATCGTAGATAAAAAGAAAGCGACAAGGGGTGGGAGAGCCGATCAAAGTAATCGCCGTGACCTGCCGGCCTACTATTTTCCCTGTTGGTTTTTGAACAAACACGGCGGTTCGCGCTTCCAAGCTTGATTTCCGAAACGTCTGTGGTAATAGCACAGGCCGCCCCTGGATAGGGTTCGCCTGTGCCGGGTGCTTGACCGGGTTCGACTACGGTTCGTGCGGGTAGTCTGCAGATTATTGATGGTGGCCTGCATAGTGGCCGTGAATAAACGAAGGTCGGCCAATTGCTGAGACAATAGCTGCACTTCCGTCGTGGGCTCGTGCAGGGCTTACCGGGAGTAGGGTTGGGGAGTGACTGATGAGCGAAGTTTGGCTCCGGGCTCCCGATGTTCGCCAAAGAGGGCTAGGAAAGTTGAGTCTGCTCCATTGCTCAGTCAGCAGCCTCAGCTAGTTTGTCTAGAATATGGGGGTGTGTAAAAACATCCAGAATACTCTGGACGTATGGCGGAGCCGTTGAAGCCAAATCTAGCGTAGTAAGGAGTCGTCGAGTGTGGTGTTGCCGACTAACGCACGCATTGGACGCAACAACTGGGACGGCTTGAGGTTTCCCAATTGGATCCCTGACAGGAAAGCTAGATGCGTTTCTCTTCGAAAACTACCATACGACGAAGGAGTGCTTCTTTGAGCACGTCGTACGGGTTGTGCGCAGGGATATTCATGTAAATATCCCTGAAGTTGATAAGCATGTCGCGGGGTATCGCGGACAACAGCTTATGATAACGGAACAGTTGCCCAGTGATACGAGCTTCTTGGAATCGCGATTCCAGAAGGGCAAGGAACGCTTCTGGCATGAACTCAGGAGCCCAGATTTGGGCCCAGAGTGCTTCGTTGTCTATGGAATGCTTATAATCGGGGCCAATTATACTTAAGCGTAAATAAACTCCTCCGCGGTGACTTCCGTAGGGTGGGTTGAAGTGCGATTGGGTCTCAGATGGCGACAGCTGGTCTTGCAGGCACATTTGTCTAACCGCATTAAGCAGTTGCTCAAGTCCTTTTGTGCCCCGACGAAATTGGATCCGTTGTTGGAGAACGCATTCGATGGGTTGCCTCGTCTATCTAAGAATATCTGCCATGCACCAAGAAAGGAGTCGGTCGACATGCTGTATATGATTTTCATATGCAAAGCTCGTGACTGTAGGCAGGTCATCAGGTATCCGTACCGTTTCTCCGTCGACGTCTTCCGTCTCACCCAAAGTGGCCCGAAGCATTCCACTCCAGTTTCGGGGAAGGACCATTAACCTGGTTGTACTCAGCAACTTGGTAACGAGGCCATCAGTTATTTGCTAAATATAGCATTCTGACGACGACAGACGAGACAGTTACCCACGATGGCTTCACTGTAGCTCTCCCGTCGCTATCCAGAAAGCCGACGGCGAATCGTACTGAGTAAGTGGCTTTCCTCTGTACGAACTTCTTGCATGTGAATGTTTATGGTGAGTGTGTGCGTGATGTGGTGATTACCTGGAAAGATAGTGTAGGTTTAGTATCAAAATCAAGTTCAGAATTTGTCAATCTAACTCCTACTCTCAGCAAACCATCTACCAGTATTGAATCGAGTCTTTGGAGAGAGTTGTAACATAATGCACGTCTGTCGGAGTCACAATTTCCTTTGCTCAACCCCTGAATCTCCGACGAAAAGGCTTGTGATTGACCCATACGAATGAAATCAGTCTCTGCTGTTTTCAATGAGGTTGGAACAATGGGCCCAATATTCAAGGTGTCATTAGTTCGGAGTCCTTTCATAATGGTGGGTTGTCGTTTGAACCTAGTCCACCAAACAACTACCCTCAGCATCTTCTTCTATCGTGAAAAACAATGCAGTTTCTGCAGTACGCTGTTGGTTAGAGCAGTGACTGACGTAAAGATCCCGTTAGTCTTCAGTAACTCCGTTGCGACAGGGAGAATCTGAGTTTCGGGCCATTCGCTGGGCTAATCCGTCAAAAAAGCTGGTCCATGTAACCATTTTTTGATTTTTTCCAAGTTCAGCACACCCTTGGAGCAGTAGTTGGCTGGATTGTTACAGAATTTTACGTACCATCATTGACACATCTCGGTTTCTTCGTGGATTGCGGGTTGGCAGCAAATGTGTTGAAGCACGTTCTTACATTGTAAATATGGCGAAGAACTATGGCAAAATCACTTTAGTAAGTTACGGTCGATTTGATTGAGCGAAAACACCGTTTTATCATCTTTACTACCCTCAAAGATAATACTGCTGTGGCCAGTTCTAGCCTAGGTATCGAGACTGCCTTTATGAGGCGACCCTGGCCTTCACGAATAGTATACTGCTTTGTCTCCTTCCACCTGACCGAGACGAGCAACTGTAGGCCACTATTCCATATTCAACCTCTGACGCGTCCGCAAAAACGTGTAACTCACGTTGCTCTCCTTTGCGTATTACTGGTATGGGACAAAGGAATTGTGTTTCGCCTAGCTTGGACATCCATCAGTCCCAGGTCTTGTGATCCGTAACGCATAGGGGCTCATCTCAAGTTCCTTTTTTTCTACACAGGTCCTGCAGCAGAATCTTGCCCGGCAGTAGCCACGGTGCGACGAACCCCTTTGGATCGTAAAGGCTGGTCAGCGAAGATAGAATCCCACTGCGAGTTGCCGTCTTTTTGGGTAGCTGGAGTTGGAACAAAAACTCATTTTTCTCTGAGTCTCACTGCACACCAAGTGACACGTCTGTTGGTAACGGACTTCTTTGCAAGTCACAAAGACACGGTGACCGTTTATCAATCAGGGTGCAATCGATTACTTGACGACTGTTAGACTCCCACATGATTAACTTGAATCCTCTCAGGAGCAGTAGCTTAGTTAGGTAGCTACTGTATAGGACTGCTTCTTTGATACTATCAAAATGTAAATGCCTGTTTCACCTCTATGGTATCTTCCCCCGATATGGAAGCCAACTTCAAATTTAGTACGGAAGCTCAAACGACTCATGCCCCATTTACCGTGCTGATTACCAATGAGGTGTTTTGTTCCCCCAAGTCGTGTTATCGCACAAGGCTCTTTCTCACAAGGGTAGCATCCGATCCGTTGTCCAAAAATGCCACGGCTTAGACCAAAACACGCGGAGTCTCCACTTGGATGGGTATTATTCACCAGCGGACCTGCCCACTTGACACAGGTCCGATGGTGCAGACGGGTACATACCCCACAGAGTCTTTGTGAATTATATCAACCCGGCCATTATCTATTCGTGGTTCTACCCTTACATCTTTGTGTAGTAAGGGGTGATGTCGAACACTGCTGTTGTCTTGACTACATTTGGTTTCGTTTCTTCATAAGGCTGCCCTGTGTGTATCACTCAAGCACACAAAGCATGTCTTCTTGACTATTGTTCAACGGTCCGCCAACTTCATTGCCGAAAATTCCGGGTAGGCTGAAAGCTTGTGGACACCCAAGCACAATGTGCACTTAATCGGTTTGTGTGGCTCATATGAGATTAAATTGATGCTCGCCCAATTGTGTGGAGGATGGAGACCTTGAGATGCAGATGGCGCGAGGCTGGGTGAAGGTCTGGCGCTTTTGAGGCTTACTCTCGTCAGTTGACCGAATCCGCTATTAGCTATGCAAGACTGAATGCTTATGAATTCAGTGAGTTCGTCAAGGGTTGCTTATCTGTTCCTTTTTCCGATCCGATCGTCTTCGGTCGCCCGGGCTGTTTGCAGTTCGGCAGGCAAACATCTGACTGTCGACTCCAGCGTAAGTAGCGCATTCAAGTCCGAGCGATAATCGAGGTGGTTGAGGGCAATCCTGCAGTTCTGCATCTTGATGACCAAATTTGATAGTGACCTAGTGTCGCCTCGTGTGCGTCTCGCTTCTGCCAGCATCCCGTCAATCATGTTTCGTGCCACGCGGAATGGTTGGTCAAACATCTCTTTCAGTATATTTCTGGCTCTCGAGTCTCCCACTTCCGGGTTCAGCATTGCACACCTTTCTATATCTCCTTTGGCTTCTACACGACAATAATTCAGCAAGAACGGAAACCTTTGCCCTACACCCGTGGTTTTGTATTCAACAAAGTTTTCATATTGTTAAATAAATTGGCAATATTGTTCAAGATTGCCGTCTAATGG